AGAATTATGCCAACATTCAGATTCCCACTGAAGATTTAAGTCCGGGCAAATTTTTTGAGTATTCCCGTTTATATTTGTATTATTTTTCATGAGTAATGCAAGAGTTTCTGCACATAATATGAAAATTTAAGGGGATAGGGGATCGCCCTGACGACAACCACGTTGTATTTGAAACCAGTCTAACAAATTTCAATTTATTGTGACACAAGAATGAATGTTTTTGTAAAATAACTTTACCCAACTTATGAAATTTTCACCAAAATTGAAAAACTCTAAAACTTTGTGCATAAATGTCCATGATACAGATTCAAAGGCGGTTGCAAAATCAATAAGTAACAACATTCCAGGAATTTGATGATCATCTGTGTATTGCATAATATCATAAATAAGTCTTATTAGCCGGTGCTAGGGGGCGTAAGGGATGTTGCACTTATTCATTATCTCTCATGTACAGACTCAATCAAACCGAGTCTGCAAGTCTTATGTAATTTTGTTGGGATTAATGCTTCCGAGGGATCACTTTGTTTCCGGAATTTTATATTGTCACCTTTGTATCTTCCAGATAAAAAACCAGTTTGATCTTCACTTATAAGTTTATTTAAAACAGTTTTAAGGCATTGGGCAATACTCGCTGATGCAATTTTGTAAGAAACATTTAATAAAGAAATAGGTCTCCAGTTTTTAATATAAAGTTTATCTTTGTTTCCTTTAGGGATGCATGTTATAACCCCTTGTTTAAAAGTATCTGATAATTCTCCTGAAACAAAAGCTTGGTTTACTGATCGAACTTCAAAATGACCTAAAACATTCCAAAAAAAAAAAAACATTAAAGAAAGCCGCTGTAAAACCACTACTAACTGGGGAAGAATCATATGATATTTTTTTTAAATCTGGCTAACATTTCATTATAAGTTAAAAGACCATCAAGTCCTTTGCTTTCTTCATCATTCAGTTTTGGTATGTTATTATTATTAAATAAAGCAGTAAGGTTGACATCATCTGTTTCCCTTAAAGTATATAAATTTTTGTAATGACCAGCTACTTCTTGTAGAATTTCTTTTTGATCTGTAAGCAAAGTACCCGATATATCATATAAAGAATTCATTGTTTTTGAGACATAATTTCTGTTTTCCATGTTACAAAAATATATTGATGGTTTTTCCCTTTTTGAAAACCATTTGGCCCTGGATCTTATAAAAACACCTTGCATTTTCTTATTTCGGAATTGATGTAATTCTTCTTTTTTTTTTAATCTAAAACCTGAACATTAACATTTGACTGTCTTTCTAAATTACCAATTACTATCATTAATTTTTCCTGAGTTTTGTTTTCTTGTTTTTTTATACGATGAGTACGAAATAGTTTTTCCCCTAATTTCCATTAACAGTGTTTCAAAAAAAAAAAGTTTATCATCTATTATAAAACTTATAAGATTATTACTTATAGGTTTTACTCTAGTAATTCAAATTGCTTGTCATCTAAAAATAGGCTTCTAGTGTGATCCACAATTACAATTTCTAACGTGTAATATAAATGAACATAATAATGCTAAGTTATTGGTCTTATTATGACAAAACGTTTACACTGTGAAGTACGCGGGGTAACGGGCTAGCAGTCTAGCGGGATAACAGTGAAAACTGAACGGGCTAGCAGTCTAGTTGGCTAACAGAGTGAACTGGGCGGGCTAGCAGTCTAGCGAGATAACAGCGTGAACTGGGCGGGCTAGCAGTCTAACGTGTAGTATAAATGAACATAATAATGCTAAGTTATTGGTCTTATTATGACAAAAAGCTTACAAACCAATTCAATGGCCGTGAAGTACGCGGGGTAACGGGCTAGCAGTCTAGCGGAATAACAGTGTAAACTGAACGGGCTAGCAGTCTAGTTGGCTAACAGAGTGAACTGGGCGGGCTAGCAGTCTAGCAGAATAACAGTGTAAACTGGGCGGGCTAGCAGTCTAACGGGCTAGCAGTGTGAACTGGGCAGGCTGGCAGGCCAGCGGGATAAACTCTAAAACTTAACTGATTCAATATGAAAACGTTATGATACATATCCTAGCAGTGTGAAGTGGGCGGGCTAACAGTGTAGCAGGCTAGCAGTGTGAACTGAGCGGGCTGGCGGACCAGCGGGCTAAACTTTAAGAACATGGAAACGTTATGATACATTTCCAGGTGGTGTGAAATGGGCGGGATAACAGTGTAGCGGGAAGGCAGTGTGAACTGAGCGGTCTGGCGGGCCAGCGGGATAAACTTTAACACTTAAGTGAATCAACATGAAAACGTTATGAAACATTTCCTAGCAGTGTGAAGTGGGGGCGGGCTAACAGTGTAGCGGGAAAGCAGAGTGAACTGGGCGGACTGGCGGGCCAGTGGGCTTAATTTTAATACTTAATTGAATCCACATTAAAACATCATGTTACATTTCCTAGCAGTGTGAAGTGGGCGGGCTGACAGTATAGCGGGATAGCAGTGTGAACTGGGCTGGCTGGCGGGCCTGCGGGCCAAACTCTAAAACTTAACTGATTGCACATGAAAACGTTTTGAAACATTACCTAGCAGTGTGAACTGAGCGGGATGGCGGGCCAGCGGGATAGACTTTAATACTTAATTGAATCAACATGAAAACGTTATAAAACATTACCTGGCAGTGTGAAGTGGGCGGGCTAACAGTGTAGCGGGCTAGTAGTGTGAACTGGGCGGGCTGGCGGGCCAGCGGGATTAACTATAAAACTTAATTGAATCAACATTAAAAATATCATGATACATTTCCTAGCAGTGTAAAGTGGGCGGGCTAACAGTGTAGAGGGCTAGCAATGTGAACTGGACGGGCTGGCGGGTCAGCGGGCTAAACTTTAATAATTAATTGAATCAACATGAAAACGTTATGAAACATTTTTTTACAGTGTGAAGTGGGCGGGCTAACAGTGTAACGGGATAGCAGTGTGAACTGAGCGGGATGGCGGGCCAGTGGGCTATACTTTAATACTTAATTGAATCAGCATGAAAACGTAATGAAACATTTCCTGGCAGTGCGAAGGGGGCGGGCTAACAGTGTAGCGGGTTAGCAGTGTGAAATGGGCGGGATGGCGGGCCAGCGGGATAAACTTTAATACCTAATTGAATACAAAAAGCCGTCTGAACAAGTCTATATGAGGTAAAGAGTAAAATCCGAGCTGATATCACATAACATAGCATAGCACAACAGATATAACATGTTAAGATATAATTGTTGCCAAAATGTGCTTTACAATTACTGTTGAGGCCTCAACAGACGTTAGGATTTAGTTGTACAGTAAGATAGGATGTCACTTTTTAACGCAATACAACATTTGCAATCAAACAATCACCAGGTATCCCTTCAAAACAATTCCCTCAGAACGGATCCCTTACAGAATTTTCTCACTATTACTTGAACTTGTGTAAATGTTGTCATTGTTGGAATTGACCAATTAAGAAGATTGCGTAAGAGGTAGGCCGCGGATAACATGGAGAGTGCATCTAGAAAATTAGTATTTCTGGAATGAATAAAATAACTGAGAACCTTAATCCTGTTCTGTTCTGTATTTTGGTCACTCGTTGAAAATATATTTTTCATCCATGTAAAAATAGAAATGTGTTCATAGGACACGGGTGCCCCACCCCACTCCACTGTTTGTCAATCGTGTATCTTGGCCAAATATTTTTTGGGCTATATGTGCCACAAGTTGAAAAATCTTTTACTAAGTAAAGGGAAAGAACTTTACAAATACTGGATATATTCACAAGCGAACCCCAAGGTGCATAAATACACATGCTGATCAACATTGTTGTACATGTTCAGGCCTACATGTCAAATACTTTTGAGCTATGCCTGAACAAGTTGAAAATTGCTAACTTAAACTGAGTCAAGGGCAATAACTCAAACAAAACTGAAAAAATCCACATGCAAAAATCCCAGGTGCATTGCTTTAAACTGATGTTGATCATTATTCCTGCAAAAACTCAAAAAACATGAAATAGATCCACAAAAAAATACCCAGGTGCACAACTACACATGCTGAACAACATTCCTGATAGGTTTCATGACTCTAGGTCAAATTCTTTTTTGAGTTATGTGCGACGCAAGTTAAAAAAAATTTTTACGTCAAGGGCAATAACTCTAAAAATACTAAATATATCCGCATGAAAGTACGCAGGTTAACAACTTCGCATGCTAATCAATATTCCTGTAATGTTTCATGACTCTATGTCGAATAATTTTGAGTTATGTGCGACAAAAGTTGAAAATTGTAAATTTTTACTAAGTCGATCAAGGGCTAAAATTCCAAAAAATACTAAATGTATTCACGACAAAATACCCAGGTGCACAACATCACATGCTGATCAATATTTCTGTTATGTTTCATGACTCTAGGTCAAATACTTTTTGAGTTATGTGCGACACCAGTTGAAAATTGTAAATTTTTACTAAGTCAAGGGCAAAAACTCCAAAAAATACTAAATATCCACAAAAGATACCCAGGTGCACAACTACACATGCTGATCAACATTCTTGTAAAGTTTCATGACTCTAGGTCAAATACATTTTGAGCTACGTGCGACACGAAAGTGAACGGACGGACGATAAATCAAAATCCCCCTCCCCCTCCTAAAGTGGGGCACAAAAATAGTTTATATATGTTCATTAAACACATTATCAGAGAATATATGAAAAATCTGTCACCTGTAATCATGGGAGGTCACTGTAACAAGAATTAAGAGATAGCATATATCCTATCCTGTAAATCTAGTATTAGGTTGTGCGAATTCAAGAAATAGTACCGTCTGTTGAGGCAATTATACAGATACTTTCTCCTAAATATGTTTCCATCATTGCGTATCTATTTACTTGTTTAGTCTAAGAATATGAAGTGTACATGTATTTGCTGCTAGAAATGCTTATTTCTGTGTAGATCCGCTTTCTACAAATAACTTGCATAATTTTTCCCAGAAACCACTTCAAGTACGCGTAATTATCATGTAATACATAGTTACATACATACGGACTTATAAAATGTAAGCTATTTTAATCACTTTTTTATATCATATACATCAAATACATTTTAGAAATTATTAATAGATTCATAATCATTTCAACTGTACATACATTTTTAAATTTTGCTCTGTTGTTTAGTTTTTTTTAAATCTTATCTTATCACTTATGTAATTGTTATATGTCTTCGGAATTATTATTTGTACTAAATCAATGTCTTTTTTTAATAACGTAACGTGTGAACTGTTATAATATTAGCATTATGCGCATAACAAATGTATTCTTTTTATTGTTTTCTTTTCATTTGAAAACTAAAACATGACATAGTTAAAAGTAACATCATTGTGTCTCATGTTTAGCGTATCACAAAGTGTAGAAACTGTTAAATGATAAGATGGGATTTTGATGACGTGCCGTGTTAACTGTAACATGAGGCAAAGTTATCAGAGCGACTTTGTGTTTTCATGAGATATATCAAAATTCCATATCTTTGAACACAGTTTATACACGTTTATCAGCTATATCTAGTAACAGAATGATTCAACAAGGATAAATTTACATTACAAAATTTTTAATTCTCAAAGAATAGAGAAGTAGTCTGTCTTGCTAAAATTTAAATATCTTTTAAAGATCTGGTGCTGTGAAGAAGAGGAACATCTACCAGTTTACAAACATGTTTGATAGAAAGGGCACAAAAGTGGTAGTAATTGGACTTCTGATTCTGATCGTGATCCTAACTGAAATCACGCAAATAGGCGGGCAACAATTATGTACTCCAAGGGGATCCGGCTGTAGGGTGAGAAGAAATCGTTATGGAAGAAGTTTGTGCAGAATAAGAGGAGAGCAGCGTGGAATCGAAAAAAGATGTTTCCGGGTAGGCCCCGTATGCAGATGTGACACGGTTGGCAATAAACTCAGCGCCACATAAAGCCCACATGAATGAAACAACAACGGATAATAAGATTATCATTATATGAATGATATGTATGCTTATGACATTTGGAATATGTGGAATTAACATTTGTTTATGTACAGTGAAGTTAGCAACTTTACATTTGTCAACTGTAATTACATGTAGCTAACTTTAGATAAACCACTTTATTTTATAGGATTATTATAAAAGAGATATATATCGTGTTCCGTGTGAAGCTTAATACTGTATAGTAGGTATAATGGTTGGATACATAAGTCATGTTTGTTTGTTTCATTATTTTACGCCTGTTCCCAACAGTATTTCAGTCATATAGGCGGGTAGTTTCCTAACCATCGTTCCTGGAGAGTTACACCAGTACTAGACTACCTTCATCCGCGCTAAAATACCAAAGCATCTCCCGGGGATCGAACCCACGCCAGAGAGGTAACTGGATTCGAGGTCATCGACTCTAACCCCTAGACCACGGAGGCGGTGCATAAGTTATGCTTTATTTAAAGAATGACAAGTCTCGATTTAATTGAAATTATTCATTTTTTATCATTTTCAAGTCAAGCTGAATGACTTTTATGTTTCAAAAGATTGACTGTTATAATGGTGACAGACCAACAGTTAATATTTGAAAATACTTTGGATAAAATATAAATCTGCCTAAATCATAGAAATACTGGCCCACTCTTTAAAATTAAATGAATGTTACAGGTAAATTGCGGTGGATATTTACAGGAATTCCTTTTGGCCATGTGTGTATTTGTCGTTTAATTAATGCTAATTAAATGATAAAACAAAGACGAACTATGGCAAAATGTACACTTATTTTAAATTTCACCTGTTCACTCTTTATACATCTTGGATAGGCATCATGTCACTTTAATATGTTAGTGTCTTCATTTACTTTTAGACCTGACACTATTAAATGTTACATCACTTTTAAAGCATAAAAGTGAACTCATCTTTCTTAATAAAATGAAATAAAATATGTTATATTCTACTTATTTACAGGATGTGAAGTACAAGGACCAAATACTCTGGCCATTTAACTTTAGATATCACAATATAACAAGAAGAAAATATGCATCATGTTTCTGTGTAAACTCACTTAACACAAATATGTGACATTATACTTGTCTTGAACTTAATTAAGTAGGTCTACTTAAATGAAACAAAAATAAGGTTCTCATGTCTAAGCCTTTGGACTTATAAAATATTTACGATTTCATCATACGCTATTTTTGTATATTACATTGTTTTTTAATAGAGTTACCAACGTCCCCCGCCTCGGGAAATTTTATATGAAGCAAAAAATTGTGCTATTTCAAAAGATTGAGGTATGGATCTCAGGACATTCAGTCTAAAATTACGATCAATGCTAGATCTGCATATGCAACAATAAATTGATTAAAGAAATAAAATAAAACACGAAATTTAAAAATCTATCATGTTAAGCTTTGACCTCTAAGTGTGGCCTTGACCTTGGAAGTAGGGGTGCAGGTGTTGTGCATGACATAACGACTTATAATTGTGACTATTTGTGCCAAGTATTTTCAAAATACCTTGAACTATGAAGAAGTTATAGATCCGACACAAAATATACCCTATAACAGACTATGTAAATCTTTGACCTCTAAGTATGACATTCAATTAAATCGAGAACAGCATGGATTCTGATTAGACTGCGCGGATGCGCAGGCTTGTCTGGATCCATGCTGGTCGCAAACGCATTATGTTGATTTTGTCATGACGCGGCTCAAATTCATTCGATATCTACGTCCGTCTCCTAGTTAATAACAAACATTTTAAGTGAAATAGAAAAGAGTAAAACAGAATCAATAAAGACCACTTAAAACGACAAAATTGAAAATGTTGCAGGCTCGGTTTGAACGAGCCTGTTCTTTGACGGACACCATACAAAAAAGCAAGTAATCGCACATGCATTCACTACAGTCTTTGCACAATTCATATTAGACATGAAAATTGTGAAATTTTAAATTAAGAAACATTTGCAGATGTGTTTATACGGCGGTTTTTGTGACTAGATAGTGTGATTTCATGAAAAGCGGCATATTGTCCCAAAATAGAGGAATACATGTGCCCTTAACCAGAAAAAATTGAGCAAAATTAACTAGTTTTGAAAGAGGGTTGGAGGTTATGGAGCCTTCATATCACAAACAAGGTATCGAAACATTTTTTTTGAAAGCAGTTTCCATATCCTAAGGGCAATTGAACAGTTTTCAAGTAGAAATAATGAAACTACCAAAGTTAACAAAATAACAAATAGAAGGAACTAAAGATATCACAAGCATGTACACACAACATTTATGTCGTGCCGCAGATTGATTTTCAAGGATCGAAAATATAACATCTTTAATTATACATACATTTACACTATTAAACAAACATAAGTGACATATATAATTGAAACCATTTATTACCACAATACACAAAATCTTATTTGACATCATAATTTATATAATTCCGTGCTCTCTACAGCTCAAGTAAAACAAAATTGCTGTATAATAAACTTAAGGATTCATAAAATTAACCAAGAAATTTAAAAAAAAAATGTTTTTTTTAGTATTATTGTATCAATGTTATGAACAATTTATTTTCTAACATATCCTTCGTGGAGACTAAACAACGAACTAACCTTGATAGACACGCATTCAAGGAAGTAAACGTCGTACTTTTGTACTCGACAGAGGTACAGGGAATATGATACTAGAATTTATCAGAATTATATTGAAATGTTAATTGTAATTGATGAAATAACTTTAAATGAATAACTCGGAAAGAAATTATAATTATATCTTAGCTAAACAAACAACACAACTCTCAAAAATGTATCAGAATTTGTTTGTTGAATATATTAGCATTTATAACAATGAAAATGTTTATTTAGAGCCTTTACCTGTTTTGTTTGGTGAAACACCTCTTTTTTTGACAAAACGGTCGCTATATAATAAAATAAGCCCATTTTTGTTTGTAAATATATATGTAGCTTATTAACCAGGCGATGAAGGCGGCTGATTTTCATTTATCATCATCTCAACGTTATTTTCTCGAATGTTTAATACATCTGTACGGAAGCTGTCCAGCTTGTTGAGAGGAAGTCTTTAGTTCTATTCAGTGTCATTTCGTGCTAGAAGTAACACTGCCGATATATACTCTACCTCGACAAGCCGTAGCATTGCCTTTAACAGTGGCTTTCATACTTCAGTTTAAACACTTTTGCAATAGGGGTTAATTTATTTTCAAATAAAGAGTGACCATGTCGTGCAATTTGTATGTATGAGATATTATTACAGAATCAAATCCGCTTATATAAGTCCAATCACTTAAAATATTGCTCAAATTATATATATATATATATATATATATATATATATATATATATATATATATATATATATATTATATATATATATATATATATATATATATATATATATATATATATATATATATATATATATATATATATATATATATAGTGTCTTTCATACTTAAGTTTAAACGCACCATTTCAAATAAGGAGTTCAGATGTTGGTTCATAATCAAATCCGCTAATTTAAAAATAAGTCAAATTACTCAAAATATTGCTCAAATTCTTCTATATATGTAAAGTAAATTTGACATTTTGTTACAAAGGCCAATATTGTCACGAATTGAGATATAATTATTATTATTGGCTTAACGTCCTACATTCCATTTTTATTCCACTCCTTGCTCCTTTGCTAATGAGTCTACAACGTAACCCATTGAGGATACAAGTAATAATATTCGTGCAAATTAATGTTTTGTTTCCGTTTTGTTCAGACAAATGTGCGAGTGGTCGGAAAATATCACATTTCATAATTAAGGCAGATTGATTGAGAAAATCAAAGATTAACGGGATTGTAAGATTTACTTAATGTCTTCTCTCAAAATGAATATACATGTATATGTGTGTCATTTACTATTATAGTTAATATTTTAAAAAATTGAATAATTGGCATTTTATACTTGATAATATGATCTATGTATGGATGCATTCCATAAGGGGAATAAGGTTAAAATGAGAACAAAAGAACCACCAAGGACACAAAGAAAGAAACAAACAAAAAATAAATGAACGACAACAAATAAAAAAGAAGCAAGTTAAAATTGTAAAATATTATCTCACAGCAGCAAATACAATGAACTGCATGCTGTTTTCTAGATCTAATGCATTGTACCATCTCTCGAGCAAAAATTTCAGTTAACGGTAATTATGTTTAGGTTTTCAATTTCTTTAAACTTAATAAAGTTCTTGACTGTAGAGACATGTATTGTGTCCGCTTTGACCTACTTAAAATTTGTCAACATAACCTTTGAAAATGGCTACCGTGAATTATTGGGGTGCTTTCTGAGTAAAAGCAAAGTTGACTCCTTGCGACCAATAATCGAACAAAATCATTTATAGTGTACCAATAACATTTATATTGAAACAAAAGGCATTAACAAACATAAGCAATTTTTCATTTATTTTCACAGTACTGTAGTATTCATTTGGCTTTTTAGATGCAGCAACTTTACAAATCACCAGCAGCTATACTTATGTCAACCAAAATTTGATTATCCCTTTTCAACATTTATCAGACAATATAATCATGGAGCTAAATATAAATATATTGTTTATATATCTGTGATATAATCAATTGCATATTGAGACCAGTAGAAGAAATATATTTAGTGATGTTCAACTTGTTTCATCTTATTCGATTAACCTTTTACCGCATGCGCATATTGTGTTGAAAAGCCTCCTGTTACAAGTTCAAACGTCAGTGAAATTATAAAAAAAAGAATTCAATACTGATCAAACTTGGCAACAATCTTGACTGGACAAAGGCCTTTTTAACAGCATGCTCAGGCTTATATTACCTGTTACCATGGCAACAGGGGACATCTCAAACTTGTCAAAATCATATTTTTCATTGTTATTTCCATCAAAACTGATTCCAAAGTGCTGCAACTTCTCAATGGATTGTGATAGAGTAAACGGCTTTTTAGCGCTGGTTACACGTCACCTTATGATCGATCTCAGGCCATTTTAGCCTCTCACAAGTCCAAAATTTTCTTGGCGATGATAGGGGCTACTGCCCCCTTTAAAATCCCAAACAAAAGGGGCGTATCCCCCCTCTGGCGCCCCGTGTATGTACCTTTTGATAGGGGCGAGGCCGAAAACTGATCACTTTTTAACAACATTTCTTCTTAAACGAAAAACAGTGTTTGGGGCCTAAATAGGGCATTTTGTCACTATTTGTATTTGAGGCTAAGGGGGGGGGGGGGTGAGCCGTTAAAATACGTCTATATGAAGTAAAAGGTTTATATTCAATTGAACAAAATGATAAATCAAGAAACTAGGTCAACGTTGACAGTTCATAAAACCAAACAAAAATACAGTTAAATTACGCACATATTTTCTTGAAAGAAGGGTTCATAATGTATGCTTATTGTTCTGATTTATTCCGCAAATCTACATTTATACATTTATTTTAGTAAAGTGGAAAGTGTCCAAAAATACACAATTTAAAAAATGAATTAAACTGACATTCGTTTGCTAAAAAAAATGATTAACATGTACCTGTAAATATGGAACTTTGCCAAAACAAAAATTAAGTGCTTGTCAATTTATCAAACTATCCATTCCTGCATAACATAACGATGATGCGTAAAATATAAAATGTATCACTTCGGCCGAGAGCTGGTACCATTAGAGAGGTGGTATCTGTTCCATGCATATAAATTCATCATACATATAATATATGCAACTTAATGCAAGAAATGATGGACTGTGTTGAAAACTCGATCAAAACATAGTCCGAAATGTCCACCGAATAAAGTGATTTGCATTTAAACAAAATTAACAATGCCCTGAGGTCTTTCTCCACCAATAAAACTTGAACGTCGCCATATAATATTAATATAATGTGTCGGTATGAAGTTAAATCCAACGGAACA